CGGGGGAGAGAGGGACAAGAAGTACAAATCTGTACTTTGTTTTGTTTGAGGGGGGGGAGGGGTTTTTGTTAAAGTTGCCCTTTGACATACTACGTGAAGCGTTCTCTCGTTATGAATGGAGCGATTGTGAACCAAATGTTTTATTTCACCTTGACCTATCCTTACAGGCTAATAACTTCAAATCAGCCCCGAGGCCCAACTGGGAGAATGAATAGGCCTACAATAAATCATCTAAATTTTCAGTCTTTAATCAACAACAAAATTATACAGAAAAAAAAATGTTCTTATATTGATTTTCAGAAGACAGCCTCTTTTTGTGCTACATGTATTATAGAGACAAATTATAACATGTTTAGTGATCAAAATATAGATTCAATTGAAGTATTCTGTCTTAAATTATTCTTAAATATTTTCAGAATAAAAAATATGTTGGTTAAGTTTCTTTTTAATAGACGATCTCAATAGAGTAGTAATAAATTTATATTCGCAACACTGGCACATTCCCCCAAGGTCGCCGGAGCGCCGACTTTTAGACCAGGGGTACAGTACTTCGACAGCAGAAAGAGCGCAAAGGGTACACCTGCGCGAATTGTTTGAGAATAAATTACACGTGTACACACTGTACTGTAGGCCTATTCATTTCCAACTGTCGTTCAAATACATCATGTATAACATTCTACCTCGATGTTTCCATTCTAGTTGACGGTCTACGATTACAATCGGGCCAGTCTGAAAAGTGTCCCACTTGACGCTCTTCTGATCTGCTGACTAACCATAATCCGTTCTATGCATGAAAAATTATGAAATTTATGCAAACTGAGCCCAAAAATGTGAAATTATGCAATTCTGTCATTTTAGCAAAGAATGATAAAGGAAAATAATCAGAAATTAGTTTGTTTTTTTAATGATCATATTTTGCTAAATTATGCGGGGTGCATAAAACCACGGGGAGAGAAGCAACACGGTAGACTGTCAAGTACAACAGAAACAATATGGTAGACTGTCAAGCGGACTGACACCAAAGACCTTAGTTCAATTCTATGAACATTTTTTATTGACACCCGGTTATTGACATTCTCACGAAGCTGAGAACCCATGTTTAACGGTCATAATCGCTTTTCGTCTGGGGCAAGGACTTTTGAAACATATCTTATAACCACTTTGGTCTGGGGGTATAGCCATTTTGTGGGCGGCGCAAGACTGTGGCCTCTCGACAATGTTTGCTAGGATGTTCCTTGCACCTGTCGGATGTCGGCCATCCATTGATTTGATTTTCCGCTGGTATGACTTTCGTCTTCCCAAATGGCGGTGTTAGGCAATCTTCCAAATCTGAACGTTTTATTTATATTCTGAAGTCTGACAATAAGGTAAGGGTTAGCGAAGGTTACCGTAAGTGTAACCACTATTGACCCTAGGCCTACACTAACCAATCATAGTCTTTCCCAATCCAACCCAACCCTCATCTTGTTATCCGAATCCGGCAAATGTGAATAAAACAATCAGATCTGGGATAGCCTTCATTTCCTCTCAGTCTCAGTGGTGGTAAAATCTGTTCCCCACGATGATAAAAAAAATCCTTTCACGGTACAATTTACACCAGGTAACAGTCAACGAGGCCAGAAGGCTACAAAATAATAACAAGTCGACAAAAGGCCACTTAATCTCACCATAATATAATAATATAATGTTTGCTAGAGGTTTTGTTTCTTTGTTTGTTTGTTTTATTTTTTGGTCTGGTAGTTTCTTTGAAGATTGTGTCTTGCCTTCGTGTGAGTGGGACAGCGAGGTTGGTTTGCAGTAGGGGGG